CAAGGGCCTGATCAGGCCCAAAATGAAGTACTCTTGTCATATTTGGTTGGGGAGCTGTCAGCTACTTACTGCTCTACTACTTCCACAGAAAGTGCTTGGATAAACTATAGTCCCTGGTCCTGTAAAGGCACACCTTCATAGTGAGAAGTAACAAAATAGTAGCAAACCACCCACATTTCCTCTGTATTTCATCAGTGAGAAGTTTAACTTGAGCAGCTTCTTCCTGCGAACTACACCCAACAGGATATTTCTCTGATCACTTCAATCTTAACCTATTCAATGCTAGGGTTAACCCTTATCTTCCACTCCTATATGCACAACTGACCTCTTAACGTAACCCTCTCCCGGGCATTGCAAATTGTTAACCTTACTGTAAAAAAAAAAAAATAGATGCAAGCCAAGAAAAGAAACATTTTTTTTCCAGTTGTTCTTTATGGACGTACTTTTAACCCAGTGTGACCACATGGTGCCTTATGATACCATCAAACTTTGTAGGATTTTTCCTATATGAGAATGCCAGATAAAAATACAGTTTCATCAAATATTTCTTGTATTCATCTGGTCATTGTTCATTAATACAGAAATGTTAATTGAATGATACGAGATTTGAATTGACCAAATGATAATGCCAAAAGATTATAATGAACTTTTAATGATATCATACTTCTCAACTTACTAATGTTTTGTTTGCATTATAAAATTTTTTTTCTTCAGTTCATTTTATAGTTTTTCCATCTCATTTATAGAATTTAAAATCTTTTTCATTGTAATCTTGTCAAAGCTGTTTATTGAGTTAAGATTTATCTCCCTTTAATTCTTTTTTAATTCCCACTATTTTGATTTGATACGTTCATCACTAAAACTCAAAAGAATCAGGCATTCAAACTAACACCTCAGTAGATAAATTTTGAAATTTATATATAATATATATATATATATATATATATATATATATATATTTCATTATTGTAGTTTTGTAATTTAGATAAACTGAAATTGAGATTTAAAAACAAATTCCTTTTTGAGATAAAATAAAAATAAATATTTCAACATTGTTGAGTTAGCTAATTTTTCTAAATTTTATTTTCTTAATTTAACAGAATTAAGCTTGTTTTAATCTTGATGTATTTTAGTAATGTAACTGAAGAAATTATTGTGGAAGGTTATTATATGCATAAAAAAAACTCTAGGTTTATCAAATAATGTAAAGATTTTTATCAACCTACTATGTAAGAAAACAATAAATTCTGAATTAGATATTGTATATTACAATATAGATAGCATGTAGGCTTATGACCATATCACATTGAAATGCCAGTTCTCATATGATCACCAAAGTTAAGCAGAATTGAGCCTGGTCAGTACTGCAAATAGCTGGTGCTGTAAGCTTGAATGTGTAGGTGGTTTAATGGTTTGGGATTGGATATCAGAGAACTGAGTTCCAGTTTCATTTGGATTCGATATATTCACTTACACACAAATATCTTTGGGAATGGTTTGAATCCTCCTCTTTTCCCCACCCAGCATCGGGTTAATTAGTAAGACTTTGCTTTTATATAAAGAACTTTTTCACCCACATACGTATTATACTGCCAGTACATTCTATTTATAACTTCTTAGTGATTAGTAACTTTTATTTTTGTAAAATTCAGTTACTTAGAAAATTGCTTGATTTAGTAGGTTTTACTCGTATCTTCGGTTATGTTTTAGGGTAACTAATAACTTGGCAAAAGTGTGTGTGTGTGTGTATTAATAAATATACATATTATTCTTCACCGCTAACATGAAACTCTTGAGTTGTGTTAGTGGTGAGGAATATATGTATATTTATTAATATATACTTAATAGCTCTGTTATATTACATTGAGGACTATTTTATTAACACCAGCACTATATGTGTGATATAGATAATATATATATATATATATATATATATATATATATATATATATATATATATATAAAATAAACAGTGAAATATTTGTTAAAATTGTACATGTTCAGACGGCTCTAATAAACTCTTTTCAGCAATAGAAGGATAGAAATCCTTAATGTCATATTTGCTAAACACTTTATTACTCTTGTTAGGTATATTTTTGAACCATGAAATGCAATCTGATGTGCTCTTCCACTGGTTGGCTTGAGTTAGCCACCCTTAGTAGTTTGCAGGTTTCAATTACAATTTTGTGGCTTATAATACCAAATTCTGTCTTTGTTAGTCTGAGATCATGGCCAAATGTAGACATGTCAGGAAGTTAATTTTGGGGCTGTACAAACCCAGATAAAGTTGGAATATTTTTTTAACTACAACTCCTCCCCCATCACTTCTGGTGTCTAATGAAGGCATTTAAGTTGAGTTTCCTCTGATTGATTCACTGAACACCTGATGAGACCTTGGTAATCGAAACTGAGATAGATATATATATATATATATATATATATATATATATATATATATATATATATATATATATGTGTGTGTGTGTGTGTGAATGCTTTTTAAAGATTTTGGTTGTTTTAATTAAAATACCTTTTAATACTTTTAATTTCATTTCTGTAAATTTGTCTTTTGTGAAAATTCTTTAAATCCAGTGATATTAACAAAGAAAATACCAGATTGTAAATCAAAATGACTTTTTTTTTCACTTTATTTTTCAACAAAAATCAAAAAGTTATTTTTTTCTTACAGATTTCCAAATGATTAATCAAAATGCTTCTTTATTTAAATTGATATTCTTCAAAGTTTATTTTTCTCATTCTTGTATGTTTTGCACATCAATCAAACAAAACTTATCAAGTATATTTCCTGACTCCTGTTACTTTATTTAATTTGAATTTATGTGAATAATGTCCTTATTAGTGTGTGCAAACAATATATAAATAGCACATTAGATATTCAAGCAATGTACATAGGTTAATGCAGTATACTTTATAAATAACCAAATTGGGATTTTATCAGCATATAGCAGATTTCAATGTATTAAAATAAAATCATGAGAAAATCTTTTTAGAAATTTGTAGTCATCAGCCTTTTTTTGTAGGCTTAATTGGATAAATTACTAAAGAAGCTATATTCAAATAATACAGAATTAAATTATATTTTAATACAACTTTAGTAACTTCAACATTGTTAAAAAAAAATGAAATTACTGTACAAGTCAAATCAACTTTATGTCAAAAAATGATTTTTCTTTTTTTTTTCTTCAAGAGATAGGTTCATCTCTTGTCCAATTTCTGATCTTTTGAACAGTATAGGTGTATCCCTTGTTTTCTGTTTAGAATTGGGTTTCCGGTTCCTTCTAAAGTCAACTTCAACTCTATATTTCTAATGTCTCCACCTAATTTCTGAAATTATATTTACTATTTATTTTTATTTTTTTCCTTCAATAATAGTAGATAGGTTTGCCTATTGTCCAGTTTTCACTCCTCCCTGGTCTTTTGAACAAGACTATAGGTTTATCCTTTGTTTTTTGTTCAGGATTGAGTTTCTGATTCCTGCTAAAGTTTTCTCATCCTCCCAGTAGATGATTAGATGTGTCTTAGTGGCATTATTGCCTTGCTTGGAGTGAATTGATTAAACAAAAAAAAAAAAAAACTTCAAATACAGTAATTTCAATTTCTAGCAATATTTCTTTTGTCAAAATCTTACAAAGTATTTCTTTGATATTCTTGTTAACTTCAATTTTTGCTAATGTGTTTATTTGATAATTTTACATTAGTCTTTACTATTACTTATAAATTATAATATCATTTAAGGACAAAGTATATAATGTTCACTATGTTATCTAAACAGTAATTTCCAAATTTACTTAGTTTTATTTTTATTTTTTTTTAAATGAAGTGAAAATGTATCGTAGCATCTATAAAAAAATACATTATTTTTCTGTAAGTTTTTTAATATTGCTTGTATTTTGTAATTGTAAAAGTGCTGATGTTCTGATATGTATTTTGGAAACAAGGCTAGTTTCACTTTTGCTCTGTGTAAAAGGTTTCCAATTCTCATATATCTGTCAATAAGTCAGTCAAATATAATCTTACCTAAACTATTTGATTATTGATGTTGTTCTAACTTTTTTCTCCAAATGCCAGCAAGTACAGACAGATTCGAATGTAAATGGATCAGCATCTACTTAGTGAACTGTTTTAACGTCAACCTGTTTCCACATGCAGCTTACTTTTGTTGCTTCACTTATAGTTTTTTTTTTTTTTTGTGCAGAGGGCAATGATATATTTTTTCTTTTTTTTTTCTCAACTGACTAGCTTCATTGCCTTCATTTATCTAATTTTTATTAATGTGGATCTTTATAGTGAATTTCTAAGTATTGGCTAAATGTGAAGTAACAGTTTTTGACAATATTTCTATAAAAGTAGTTCTCACATCCAATTAAAAAATGAAAAATTATTTTAAATGAAACAGCAATTTCTTCATATTCAAATATAATTGAAGATTTATATAATTTTTTTTAAAGGTTAGGGTGAACATGGTATATACAGCAATTAAAATCCCTAAACTTAGAAACTTTTTAAATGTTAAATGAATTGTATTCAAAGTAACTTAAAATGTATAAGAAATATTAATGTTTCTTGCACTTTTATTTTATTATTTATTTCTGAAAATTTAAAGTGAGAATTTAATCATATTTTAAATTATATTGGTTTGCCAAAATACAAACTAAACAAAGAAACTTTGTTTATTCATGTCTTTTTGGTTAAGGAACAAAAAAAATCTTTTAAAAATAAATGAAAAATAGCAAAAACATTTCACCCTATCAAAATTGTTCAGTAAAGCCTTGAATGGCATCCTAAGTATCTGACAACTTCTATAAAGTTTGGAATTCTCCAAGATTTAATCACATATCAATTCAGATATTTTTTTTTTCAGTTATAGTTTGTACTTATCTTGAAACTCAATTTTTTTTTAATCTAAACATTATTCAATTCATATTTGAAAATGATTTGTTCTTTAATTTTTCACTTTCACTTCATTTTTTTCTTTTCAGATTTTTTCTATGTAATGGAAAGGCCTGTTTTGAATGAACACAGGGTATGTAAATTTATAACAATATATATAAAAAGTGTATTATATGTTCAGTCAAATTTCTTTTGAATCTTGGTCAATAAAACATTTGACTAACAAAACTAATGGTTTTTTTCTTAACTGTGCTCTATAAATTTTTTAAGCACTTTTTCCTTTATATTATATCATTGTTTTTTTTTTTTTATAATATGAGTGATGTTTTTTTACTGCTTTCCAACCTTTTGCAGGTTATTTAAAGCCAGAAAGAATTTTTGACAGAAAATGATTGATTGATAAAAGTCCTAGTAATTAACTCATAGCTGGGAGAAGAGGTGAATTCTTAACTTTCCCAAGAGTATTTGCGCATAAGTGAATATATTGAACCCGAGCCATTATCCATTACACCACCTGTTCATCCAAGCTTACAACACCTATTTCCAAATGGTCACTAATCTAGGTAATCAACATTGATGAACTTTGGAGATCATATGAGAACCTGTGTTTCAACATGATATGAGTGTAAGCCAACTCTGATTATAAATTTTGTAATTTTTATTGCAAGTTCAGTAAAATTATTCCATATTTATTACTTGTTAGTTAATTCATGGTTGTAAAAGCTGTGGATAGAAGTTTGGACAAGCTCCCACTGTCTATATGCTTATGGCTACATCACATTGAAACACTGGTTCCTGTATGATCACCAAAGTTAAGCAATATCAAGCTTGGTCAGTACCCAGTTGGGTGACCATTCAGGGATAGCAGGTGCTATAAGCTTGGCTGTGTGGGTGATGTAATAGATAATGACATGGAATTGTTAATCAGAAAGCCAAGTTGCAAATCCTGTTGAGTTTGTCATATTCGCTTACGCGCAAATACCATTAGAAAAATTATGATCTACTTCTTCTTCCCCCAGCTATGGTGCATCCTGGGTATGACGATAAACTACATCTGCATCCCGGGTAAGACAATAAACTATGTCTAACAGCAAGGCCTCTGATAAGGAGGTTTTGAGGAGCGTGGAATCACCTCTTAATTGCTGAAACCAATAAAACACAAAGACAATAGTCCACATGTAAATAGTGTAAATAAAAGCAATTGTGTTTTGTAAATCTATATTTTTAGTAATTCATAATAAAAATTTGCTGTATAAACTTGGAGCTCTATGAGGAATGAAGATTAATGAATGATCTTAAGATCAATGCTGATTGTTATTTTTCTGTCTTTAAATATGTTGCTGATGACATTGTAGGATGAACTTTAACTTGGATAATGTTCCTGATACTGTAATTGTTTAATATTTTCTGAAACATTACATATAATAACTTTTCAACACTTACAAAAAAAATTTTTTTTTTCTTGATCTCAATGTGTTGTAACCTGTCTTTCAGATACAGAAATTTTAATGTTTCTCTCATTGTGTCATTGTTTGTCTTGGAGAGCAGGCTTCAGCCTGAGATGATGGTAAACAAATGACTAATAAAAGCAAAAGAGCAAGCCAGGTTTAGACTTGTACTCAACCAAACAGAAGGTCTAATGTGACTGTTCTTAATATGGCCAAAACTGTTTAGACCAGTCACCAGAAATCAATGTTGACATCCTGTAGATATTTGCAGTTAAAAATCAACATGCTGTAAATAAAAACAGTAATTTCAGCTGATGTCTGCCAGAATTGATTTTATTTGACAAAAGGACATTTACATTATCCAAGTGTCATTTTATATATTCCATAACCTGAAATTCAGTATTTTGCCATAACCCTCAGTCTTTTTCAATCAGAAAGAAAAAAAAATTATATTTTTTTTTCCTTTTAAGTTGGTGTTTCCTACAGAACTTTTCTCATAAGAATTTCTATTTTGTATTATGTATTTAACATTAAATGTATTGACAGTTATGGATATTGAGTGTATAATTTTACCTAAACTTTAAATATGTACTGAAATTGAAGTAAGTAACCCGGACTCATCCTAACTTGTCAAAGAATATTTTTTATCAGAAAATCTTAATAACTATTTCTTAGCTAACATTGAAAAATTTAATTCCATTGAGAAGACATTAAAAATTGTGTTTGGTCAGATTTGGGGAAGTGGATTAAGACTGTTGCTATTTATAATTAAAACATTAGGGAAAAAAAGCAGCTAAGAAAACCAAAGAGAGTATTCCATTGATAATTTTATCTTATTTCAACAGCAGTATGTTGGCATATTGGTATGTTGCTTACCTCTACGTTGGAGGCTCAGGTCAGAACAAGATTCACTTTTATATATATATATATATATATATATATATATATATATATTTCAAGAACAATTTTAGGAGAAAGTATGACAAAGTGGGAAAAATTTTCATGTGATAGGTTTCATTGCTTAGGACTTCATCAGACTATGTTTGTGTTGATGTGACTACATTTGTGCATGAACAAGACGCTGGGAATTTTAATTTAAAAAAAAAAATTTTCAATGTGTTTTGGGTATATAATTTATAATCTAGCCAATTTTATTTAGATTGTTTTTCTTTTTGTTTATGTTTCTATCACTTTTATTATTAAATATCTAACAATGTGATAATAGAAGATCTGCCAAGAATAGTGAAACTTTACAAACTGGATGCAAATTTACTGTGAATGATCTAATGATTAAAGCATTTTATAAACATTTTTATCTTAAATTGTTTTCTCTTAATTAGAGTAGCATTTTTTAAATAAAAATTGTTGTCAGTCTCATTATGGTGAGCAACTGATGCATTTAATGTGTCATTTTGTAAGAGATCCCATTTGTGTTAATATAATTTTTTACTTAAATTCCTTGAGGTTTCTCCAATGTATTCCTTGTGTCTGGCAATTGTTACTGGTAATAGAGTAAACTCTTCAAGTTTTAGCTTATTTTGTTTTATATTAATTAAATCTTTTATTGTTTTAGATGTAGTTATGGCATTTTATATTGAGATTAGATAAATTCTTTTTAGTTGTAGTTGTTGTAGTGGGTAGAACAATATATTTTTTTGATTTGTTGAGTTTGTCAGGAATGACTGCTTTTCTAATTTGAAACATTTTATGGGCTTTTTGTTTTGCATTGAATATGAAATAGGGTATTGAATGAGATTCAAATTATTTTCAGAGTATTTTCCTCTTTTATATATATATATATATATATATAATTTAGTATGACAAAGAAACACAAGTGGCATTAGTTATTATTTAATAAGATTTTATTTTAAGATTGTCATCTACTTTTTCTCTCTTGGGAAACAGCAAAGATTTTTTTCTTTTTTGCAATTGTATTAACAAATTATAACTGATACTTTTTTGACAGATTGCTAAGTATGTTCAACTGTTTCAACATTTTTTATTAACATATTTTCAACTGTTTATTCAAACTCTAGTTTTCAAAAATTAGGGTGCTGTAAAGTTTTGCACAAACCTAATAGAGGATTTATAGTCCTTTGATAGTTATATCAAGAGTTACAAGATTTTTTTTTTTCATACATTTTTTTTAGTACTATTGCAACATAGTTGGGAAAAGAAAAGATGCTTTCAAAACTAGGGCAAATGGAATAGTGCAAAATGTGTTGTGCAAAATTTTCCTTCATATGATAATTCATTAAATCAGGAAAATTGAACCATCAACAATACAGAATTGAATTCTAGAAAGACTTTGAAATATTTGTTCTCTCTTTTCATTTTGTTTGTGTGATACTCTAATTTTTAAAAAAAATATTTTTAACAAAACTTCATCTTAAAAATTAATTTTGGCTTCAAAAGCTCAGCAATTAGCTTTGCATTGTTTGTCAGTGATTTTATCTTCTTTCAGTTGGGACAGATCAACATGTCTTCTTGGATAATTACTAATTAAAATCCACAGTTGATTTGAATCAGCCTAATAATTTTCCATCAACCATACTTGTCTTTCTGTCTGTCAAAATCTTATCTTCAAAATAGTATTTGTTGGAAACAAGGGAATATTTTTATCTATTTTAACTGAGGATGTGAGTCACTTTTTCATTGAATTGACAAGAATTTTTTTGTCTTCAAAACATTAGACAATATGGATATGGTACCAGTAGTTAAGATTGATACAAATATTTCTAATCTTATTTGTTATACAAGATATTTTTGTCTTGACCATAATTATAATATCTTTTTATAGATAATCTTTCATTAAAAAAATTTACAGACTGATACCTCTACATTGCAGATGAGAAAATGTCTCTAAAATTTTTTCATTTCTTCTTTTCATTTTGGATCTATTGAAAGTTGGTCTGTCAAAATAAAAAAGTGAAGATTGAATTTAGCTGTTGATCATTGAAGCCATTTTTTCCTTTTCACAATAAAGCAATCAAGGATTAATTTTCTTTAATCCTATGTCTATTTTTTTCCACTTATAAGGCAAGGCCATGTACAAGAGCATGTGTCCAAGTTAAAATGACTATTAAGAATAACTGGATGCCTGATTTCTCAGAAAAAGTGTTTTGTCATATATATATCTTATGATTTCAGCATCATCATCATAGTGATGGTTATAACAATGATCATAAAGTTACATTAGAATGGCCATGGTGGTTGTATTAGCTGCTATAGCAGACATGTCTGCCCAAGTTGTGACATGTTAGTGCAACCTGTTATTAAGAGTCAATTCATCACCAGACAAGTGTTCCAATGTCGGCAGTATTTCACAGCTTTTGTTCCATCTTTGCTCTCCTGCTGTGGAGGATATTGCTCATACATATACACTAATATATATATATATATATATATATATATATATATATATATATATATATATATGCACACATGTGTAATAAATATACACAGGTACTTATTGTTGCATTCATTTTCACTATTTAGCACCTTTTGACTTCCTCTTTCAACCAATCAATAGTTTAATTTCACAAGTGTACTGATTTTGAAATTGTTTTATATATGGAGAGGTGCTATGCTCTTTCACTTTCATATACTCATAATTAAATGTAAATAAACAATGGTAGTGGTAGCCCTTCTAGTTGAATATTGGATTCTCATTCATTTGTTTATTTCAGTATTTTATTTTCTAAAATTAAATTGAAACATACAAGTAAAAAAAACCTGAAGAAAAAGAAAATAAGTATTATAAGAAAAAAACAAAAAAAACAATGATCCTTGACTTTGTTTCAATCAAAATCAATAAGGTTCTTCTGATTTATTTATTTATGAAACTATTAACATGGTTATTAACATCCCTTTTATCTATACATTCATTATCAAACAAAACCAGTCAGGTCACTTTCCTCACCTTTAGCAGATATTATTCATTATGTATAAGATATTTTAATAGTTTTTAAGGTTCATTTTCATCTTCGTAACTCTTACCTCACATTTTATTCTTGAGCATTATAAAAAGATATGTTAGTAGTTTGTTTTTATAGGGGAAGGAGGTTCTAAAACTTCTGTTGTACTATTTTATTTATATATATATATATATATATATATATATATATATATATAAATGTAAAATTCTGTTGGTAAGTAATCCAAGTAGATCTTATTCATATAAAATATTAAAACTGATCCACATATAAGTTAATTACAAAAATGAAACCCAAATGACTCCATTCAGACGGCCATTTTGTCCCCAGGAGATTCTTCCTGGTACTTGTCTATGCAAATACATTTGTTAAAGAAATTAATTCTAACGTTTTTTGTTTCTTTTAAGTAATTTGAAAAATAAAAATTATCTTTCAAATTACTTAAAAAAACAAAAAAAAATGTTTAGTTCGTATATCTGATTTTACTAGGATCCACCTGGATTATATACCAATGGATCTATTACCTGTGCTATATATATATATATATATTAATCATTTCACTCCAAGCAAGGCCATAAAGCCACTAAGATGCAAGAGGTTATTGAGTGTGAGAGAATGAGAAAAAGAAATGTTAAGAAGAAAGAACAATAAAAGAACAGGAATTAAGATGTCAGAAGATAATGATTGACATTGCATTTAAATTTTTGAACATCAAAGTTGGCTGGGGGATAAGAAACTGGAAAAGAGTTCCATAAGTGAGAAGTGCAAGAGGAGAAACTGTTATCATAGAACTTATGGTTACATCTTGCCATTTTAACTGTAAAATAATAAAACCTTGCTGCCAATCTAGTACTGTACTTAAATTCATAAAGTCTAGGTATCAAAGAGGAAAATTCTTCATAAAAATTACCATGGAAATATTTATAGAAAAGACACTGGGAAGCTACTCTATGATGGTGGGAAATTGACTGAAGCTGAGATGTCAGATAACGTTTCAGATTCTTCTTTGTGTTTTATTAATAATCTTTAAATACATAGAAACACCAGACCATATGTGGCAGCAATATTCAATGCATGGATGAATGGTACACTTATAAATATGTAAGATACATTCTGCAGAGAAAAATTGTCAAAAAATTAATGAAAATGAAAGTGTTTTAAAACATTAAAATGTATGCATCTGATAGTGTGAATGTCTACAGTTAATTAATTTTAACATTGATGTTTGTAATAAAATATTTTAAAATTTTATGTAAATTGTGCTTTTGTAGCAAATGCAGAGTTAATAGTAGTTATCTCCACAGAAACACTATACCTGAGGTTTAAAATGAATTTCTAAAAATTAAAAATCTTTCTTGAAGCTTTTATTTTAGTTTTAATTTCAATTTAATAGATTAAATTTAATATTTCCAATGAGCAAAATACATTTTCTCGATTTCAAAACTCATTTAAATTGACTGTAAGGAGTTTTTGTTTTGAAATTGCTAATATTAGCATCATTTTTAGCTATTTGTCATCATGATGTAATTATCTTTATTAAAAAATCTTTCAAAAATAAAATCTACTCTTCTGAAACTTTATTTGAGGTATATTAGCTGATTTAAAGTTTAATTAGTCTAATATGAAACAAATATTATTTAACTTTAAGTTTAAAATATTGTAAAAATGCATTTTTAGCACGTGGTACCTGTTTATTTAAGGTGTTAGTAGCTTGACTGGTTTATCTAACTTCTTTCTATGGCGGGCATATCTGTAAAATTTACTTGAAGAATATAACATGAGCGCTTTTTAAAAATTTAGGTAAATATTCTCTAATCTAGAGTTTTATTGAATTTTAGGTACTTTGGCTTTAAATTTACTATAGATATTGCTTTGATTTTCTGATAATGTTGTGTATGGATGTCTGTATTTAGAAAAATAGGCATCTTCTTTTTGAAATATTGGGTGTCGTTGAATCGTAAGCTTTTCCATTTATGATCAGTAAATATACTTTTTACTTAATAACAATATCAACTAACTGCTACAAATTAATACAGAATTTTAAAAGATTTAAAACTTTATGAATTATTCTAATTAAAATTAAAAAAAAAATATGAAAACAATTGTAAAAACAGTTGTCCATAATATTCATATAAGCAATTAAAAAAGCTTTTCTAATTAAATAATATCCTAGTTTTACTGCATTTTTTATTTTATGATTCAGAGCAGATTTTCAGTAACTGGGTGTTCTGTTTTACAAAAAAAAAAAAAAAAATTAAATTTTCCAAGGATTTCTTAATATAAACATATTAAGCCCTGTAAAATTTAATTTCTCAATTTCCTAAAATTGAATAAGTGGTGGGTGAGGGGGTGTAATGTTTGTAAAATGTTTTATCAAGATTTTTTAAAAAAGAAAACATTTCTAAAAAAATTTAATTCATTTGTGAATAAGTACTGAAAATTTAATTAAAATCCAACAGTTATTTGATTTTTGCAAACATTTCCAAATATGTGTTTTTCACTACAAAAAAGGCACTAAAATTCCCTAAACTAATCTTTGCTCAATTTTAACCAAAATTTCAAGCATTCTAAAAGGGGAAAAAACAATATTCAAAAATCCCTTGGTCTTTCTTCTTAATAACAAAGATTTCAATAATCAAACTTTGTTTTTTTTTTTTTTTTTTTTTTAAGTTTAGGACATTTTTTTCATCATGGCATGCCAATATTTTAGTGAATTCTTGGAGGTGCCTAGTTAATAGTTAACAATATAGAAAAAAATGGAATGCAAACAAGAGTTGAAATTTTAGTTGAAGTTGTCTTCATTTTGTAGTAATACCTTTGGGAAAGGTATAAATGGGTCAATTCAGGGATTACACCCACCACCATGCTGCAAATATTTAACCAATACAACATGTGCATGTTGGAGAAGAGACTGGCACTCTCTCATATCACTCCAAGAAATGCTATAATGTATCCCTTGTGTAGATCTACAAAGTTATCTTCTGTCTTCTTAATTTCTGTTCTTCAATAATTTTTTTTCCTCATATTTTCTCACTCTCTTGTGTCTTAGTGGCTTTATTGCTTTGCTTGAGGTGAATTAAAAAGTACTTTGACTAGCTGGTTTTATTTTTTTATTTATTTATATTTTTTTTGTATAATTTATGTTAAGTTGGGTATGAATGGGAAGGTCTTTTTTAAAATTGTTTTCATATATAAGTATTTTTATAGCTTGTTGATTTAAAAGTCCCTACTTTTCTACATGCTGGATAACATTTTTCTCATTTGGCTGTTGTATAAAAATTTAACAAGATAATCAGCTTAACACATTGCCTCCCACATAAACCTACCAGAATGTCATGATGGTATGACTGCAAGGTCCACATGACCCTCCAGTGGGTCATTTTCCAATTTCTTTTCTATGAGGATTATTGGAAGTGGGGAAGCTATGATTGATTACTTATGAAATATGGTATACCAGAACCACATTTTTTCCCCAAAAATTTAAATATTTTTGAATATAGAAAATGAGTTAGAATCAATGTCATATTTGTATATTGTGAATTTTCCAATGACCCACAAGTGGGTCATGTGGTACTCTGGGTTGTAAAATGGACTGATGTACTGAACAACTCACAGGTAGGTCATTGGCAATAAATACTACCTATGATATCCTTGCTTCATATATGAAACAATGTTAAAAAACAAAGTGTTAGGACCCTGGTACATGAAGGAAAATGAGACTTAGGAGCTAACATATTAAATCAATTTTGGAAACGCACAATTGGTTGTGCATTCAGTTATTTTTGTAATAAAACATAATCTAATTAAAAACAAAATTGATGTTTCACACGTGTGAACCCAGATGACTAAACATTGCTGTAGAAGTTAGTTAAAGAAATATGCACTCCTTATTTGCCTCTACAATGAAGATTTGTTTTGTTTCTATGTAAAATATGAATAATTACCTTGAGTATAATCAATGTGACCAATATAAAACTAACATTTTAGACTAGTGAAGGGGATATTTTAAGGTAGTTTGTGCTTTGTAAGCATTCAGGTATAGCATCATATGTTGCTATAATGTAAAACTAGGAAAAGCTAGAAGTTCATTTCATTATTGACTTTAAATTTTCTGTTTTATTTCGTGATGAGTGCAGCAAAATAATATCTACATGCACTTATTTGTGTTCATTAATACTCCAACTGCAATTGTGTATGTATAAAATATATCCACTTTATGTTTGGTGTTTTTTCTTTTTACAGAATAAATTGTCAAGAAATAGCACGCCATCTGCCTCCACAACAGCATCAACCCCAGCATCAGTAAATTCAAAGGTAAAAAGAAAAATTGCTATGTTGGTTGACAATGTTTCTGTTGAAGATGTTTTGATTTTACTTTTGTGCTAAACAGTGTTCTGTTATATATTTGACCTTAAGGTAAGCTTTACAAATATGAGAGAGGTCATTAATAAACATTTGAACTTGAAAGAACATGTCAAATGCAAAATATTGTATTGCAACAAAAAGTGAATGTTGAATTAGTTTAAATAGTAAAACATGAAAACTATTTTTGGAAAGGAGTTGGTTACTGTGCAATTATATAACAATCATTACATTTTTATTCATCCTCTATTTCAACATAATCTATATAATAAATGTGAATGTCAGTGTGTCACACTTTCCAAACTTTACTCCTAGAGGCTACCCAACCCAACCCAACATATCACACCATTTTGGAATCGGGCCGATTCTGTGAGCAAATTAAAAATATACTGATCAGGACCTGCAATCCTGAAATTTTGGTTTCCCAACTTTTCATTACTGTCATTGTTTTTGGCAATGTGTTTTACATCATTTTGAAAGAGGATTATAGGTAAGAAAAGATGTTAACTCTAGATTTTTTTCTAGATTTTTCTGAAATTCTAATTTTAAAATTAAATTAGAACAAGCATTACTTTTTGACCAACCTTTGTGTGCATATATATATAATGAAACTGCAAAGTTCAAATCATGACTATTCTTATATTCAAATTTCATATGCAAATTTATATTTTAATTTTTATGTAATAGATATGTTTAATTGTATTAGCTAACACTTTATTTTTATGTATTGCTTCTGCAGGTTTACCCAAAGCCTAAATTTTTAAAACTTTTGCAGTCAGTTGGAGCAAAAGGAAAAGCTTTTCAAGTATCAGAGGTAAGAAAATTAGACTTGATAATCATATTTTCATTCAGGCATAAATAAAATTTTAAATACTAATATATATACATCTGTCTATATTTCTGAGATAGTGCTGTATCATTTTACATTGTTCGGACTGTTGTCCTCATCTTAAATTGTCATATTCACAATGTTTATGTTGTTGAATGCTCCAGCCTCCTTCAGGTGATATATGTTGGAATTTTGAACTGAACCCTTTTAGTACATGGGAGTAGATTGTTCTAGTTCCGTGTGCCATCCCCCTTTTCTGGATATTTCCATTTTAGTTATGATAACTCTCCAAGTTTTTGTTCACTTTTGCTGTGGTCAGGTATTGAACTCACAACTCAAGGACACGTGGCCCAGTGGATAAAAGCATTGTTTGAAGTAATCCAAAAAGTGACTTGACCCAAAGAATTATGAATTCTGAAGAAGGCCGGAGTGTACAACAGCTGAAATATCAATATGACAAAATAAAGATGAGGACAACAATCTGAACTATGTAAATAGTGTAAACTAAAATATATATATATAGTGTCCTTCTGTTTCTTGTTTTTGTTTTTTTGGGGGGGGGTTGTATTTTAAGGACAGAAGTGTGGGTTAAGTAACAGTTAACAATATAGAAAATGGGATTAATGAGTTAAAATTCTGTTTAAGTTTGTATTCACGTTTTACAAATACCCTTGACATAAGCATGAATCTGTTTTTTCTTCTTCCACTTTAAAATAGCAGAGCAGACTAGTTTCTCAAGCCTTGATTGGTAACTATTCAGGATAAGGACAGCTTTGAATTCAACATCATACAGAAGGCAATAGGGAAAAAACTATATTTCTTAAAAACAATTAATGTAAATAGTGTAAATAACCTTTTTATTTAACAATGCTATCTGCTCACAATATTGATTCTAATCTGTTTTTTTTTTATTTTTCATAAAGTTAATTTTTTGTTTTTAATTTCAGATCATTAATTATTTAAAAGAGTATATATCTTCTAAGAGACTATTTGATCAACAACAACCTTGGATTGTACATTGTGAGAATGATTATCTTGGATCAGTGTTCCATTGTAAACAGTTTACCATTGATGATGTCAGGTTAGTTATTTCCTATAGCACACCTCTTTGTAATAATCAGCTGTAAATTGTTTTGTCAGGTATTGTGAATATACTTTATCTAAAACTTGTAAGGTTTTATATTCCTTTGCACATAAATGTGAACAAATATAAGAAAATACTTACATTTGTTCAAAAGTTTATAAGAAACTTTTTTATTTATTTACAGATTTTACATTATTTTTTAATGCACTTATCACTCATTCCATTTTTGTGCTGACCTTTTTGAGTTAAAGAAAAGTCATTAATTTTTTTAGATATGCAAAAAGGACAGCAGCCTATGATTTTTAGACAATGTTTTCTACTGACTTTTATCAAAACCAGGACAGTCATAAAAGATTATAAATTATTTGTTTAGTCCTTATTGCAGACTAATTTGAATGGTAAATATTTAACATTATTTATAATTATGTTCTGGTCTAAAAAAAGCATCAGAATTCTTAATTTTCTCTCTGAATATCATATCAGCAATGGCTCAATGAACATAATATGCTAATAATCTAAACATGCAATCTTAACTTTTGTGGATTGTTTCTTAAACTAAAAAAAAATAAATATTAAAATATATCCTTATATTTTAATGAAAATGTAACTGCTGAGAAATAGAAGTGTCAAAGATTTCTTTGTCTATCCATATTTCAATCTGAATAAGTATAGACAAAAAGAAGGAATACTCATAAGATTAAAGGCTGATGTTTCAACTTCTTACAAGTTACAAATATTAAATTGACTCTTCAAATAGATTATCCTTTAGGCTTTAAAATAATTTTTCTTCTATATAAAAAAAATTTGGTAGTTTGCGATGACTAATGTTGCTAATATAGTATTATAGAGCCTGATTTTTTTTTTTTGTTCTTAAAGTATTTAAAAGTTATACCTTGGGTATTTTATAATTTTGCTTACAATTTAATTTAGATAATTTTCTAAAACCCATTATCTTAATTCTAACAATGGAATCTAATGTTACTGTTACAAACATCTATATTAAAATTTTGTCATTTATGATAGTTTTATTTTATATATTTAGAGAAATATACCAGAGATTTTATGTGTCAAATTCCACTGACATTATTCCTGCAAAGAGAATTTGTCTGTAATATATTCAATTCCTGATACTTTATTCTTCACATTGACCATATTTATCTTTGAGATTTTAGTTATAAAAATCATTTGATTTAAATGTATAAATGCACTGCTTATTTTGATATAATTGTTAAATCATATTTAGCAATATTTCAAAGCACAGAATTTTTGAATATGAAAATAAATAAAATTTAAATTTTAATATGAAGTAAATGTTCAGATGTTACAAGTTTACCAATCAGATATAGATTGAATTCACTGAAAACCTTGAATTTGAATGGTTCTTAAAGACTTGTCATCAGTTTCATGAAAAGTCTTTGTATCACACTTGAGTTTTTTCTACCAATATAATTTAAGTAAGGTGTGCTCTTTGTAATATTTACACAAATATTTAATAGGTTCAAGTCCATTATTTAAAAATTAATGAAATTTATTGTAATTTTATACTTTTAAACTTGAAAATTATCTTCTATAGATTTATGAAGAAAAGCTGAAAAGTTCTTGACTCAACCCACTTCCAAAAATCTGGCCAAATGACTAAATATCAGATTTTATTATCTGATTTTTCTTCTCTCTCACACTTTTATTTATTTACTTTTCCAAATGGTTTTCTTGGCTAGGCTGAAAACTTTTCAGCATTCACTCCTGCATATGTAAAATGAAATTGTGATATCAATACTTACAGGTTGTTCGGACACAAAAAATGTGGGAAGTGTTAATATTAGTGAAATTTATTACATTTTGTCTTTTGAGGAAAAAAACAAAAAAACTATAATTTCAAATCAGACCAGGATATTGGAACTATTATTTGTTAAGTATATGCACGGGATATAATTATCATTGTAAGAATGTTACCAGTGTTATTATATATTTGGCAGATCTTCAATTAGAGCAAGCATAACTAGTGCTGAAATCTGTTCAAATTCATTGAACAGGTCTATTCACATAAAAATGTTTGAGTAAGCATATCCTCTGCTGTATTTTATATTGTTTGCAGGTGTGTATAAAATGTTTACTACTGATGCAGAATTACTTATTATAATGTTGACTTCTTTTCATGCACTATTATTTTTGTTTTTTTTGTGTTAACCCCACTACAAATGGTTCAAATTTATGTCAGTGAGAAGTTTTTTCAATTTTTATTCCACTATAATCAATTATAAGACCATAATAAATATCTGGTTGGAATAATTACATAAAAAAATTTCCAATTATTTATAGTCCCGCATTTTTCTTATCCAACCATATTAAAGGTTGTTTGTTGTTCATTGGATAGAATATGTTAAGTTTATATTCATTAATTAATGTTAGGATAAAATGAATCTATAAATATTTAGTTATCTTGTATGTAATTGCTGTTTTAGTATTTTTTGCCCCCTGCAACCTATAATTTTTATGTATGTACACTTTTATTTATTTATATATCTTGTGGCTTTGTCATGTGCATTTTTCTATTTTTATGTGAGTTATAAAATATATATTCCAGTAATATCTGTATTCAATTTTAATCCTAAACTCAGTATTTGAAAGTTTTCTGTATTCAACTTTGTTTTAAATATAAAATTTTTTAACTATTAAAATTTAAAGGAAAAAACACACCAAAACTAAGTTTGTATATATTTATTTTTAAGGGGTCTGCTTAATCAAAATGTCACAGTATGTAAATCGGAAGTCATTGATGGCAACGAGGTAAGTTTCCATTTCAGTAATTATATACTGATTTGTTAAACAATACAAATTGTTCTTTAAGGACATCTTCTGTTGGTAACTTTTATACCTAACTTAATGCAAATACCATTGAAAGCTGTAGGTGGGGCATCTTTTTTATCTTATGTAGAAATGACTCACTCACAATTACTTACATCAAATTTATTAAAAATAAATTATTAAATTATATGACAATACTTAAAAAATCTTGCTATTCTCATTTTTTTTAATAACTTTATGCCTAAATGGTAAATGTATTAACATTGGCATGATGTACAAAAATGTTTTTAAGTTTTATTCTGATAAACATAGTCTTCTGTCTTTTCAAGTTGGTTTCAGTTGCATTATATACATTTGATATATTAGAGTAATCAATAGGTATTGTTAACCAAATTAGTTCTCATTTGGTAAATTATTTGAAATAGTATGTTCATCTTGTTTCATTACACATTTGCATATTCTCCATTTTTCTTTTTCATTGTATATTTCATGGAAATATCATTGTCTATGTTTGAGTAAATGAAGGAGCTGTAATACTGATTTATCCTGCAAATACAGTGATTATTAATAGAAAGAATAAATTTGAAATATATATATATATATATGGCACATGTCATCAGTAATTACCCAGGTTAGGCAACTTGTGACTTTGATGTAGTAAGTCTGCAAAAAAAATATTTTATGCATAATAATCAGAGTAATCTTCATAATTTTGCTGGATTAGGTGCATGTTGTGCCACAGAAGGAAAATTCTATTTTATTCAGGGTAGGCACTGCCTACCTAGATGGCATATCCCTGATACATGTGTTTTGTGTGTGTAAATATATATATATATATATATATATATATGTGTGTGTGCAGGTATGTAGAAAAATAGGAAAGAATACGTTAGGTAAATAATCCAGGGTTCTTTAGTATTTTTGTTTTTATTTTTAAAAAACAGTGCTCCATACAGAAGTAGAGCTTAGATTATAATTATTTTTTTTAAAATATGATTCCTTCGCTACATAAGAGTTCTCATGTTTCAAAAACGAGAGCCGTAACCATCAATATAATTATTAAAATTAAAGTAACAAGTCCTGTTTTATCCTCAAGTGAAAATTTAGAAATCATATATATATATATATATATATATATATATATATATATATACACACAAACCTAGATGGCTCAAAATTTGCTAAATAAAATTAAATGAGAAATAATATTTGCTATCATTAGGATAGTATTTTATATTGAACTTATTAATATTTCTGCCATTTTTTCTTTTTATAAATATGAAGGAAAAAACATAATCTATTACTGTACAGAGCCTTTGTGGATCTTAATAGATTTCTGGTTATTTGAGATTTCTACCTGTAAGTTCTTCAGATTTGAGCTGTCAAAGCAGTGAGCTTAAAATATGAAATCCTGTCCAGGTTCTGGATGTCTACTTAATAGGTTTTAATTCAAACCATAACTTAAGTAGTATATTGGGTACTTTGACGTGACATAATGGTTAACAAGCTTATCTCACTAAATCAGTTATGACTGAATAGCTTGTTCAATCCTCACTAGGTGACCCATACTTTTGGCCTTGTGTCACATTTAAGATACACTTAGAAAATCGCCATAACTTATGTAGTATACATATTAGTGGCTTTTATTAGAAACATATAAAACATATTTTTTTTTTCTACCTTGAAATGTTTTTTCTGCTGCGTTACATTTTGTTACTAGTGATTTTCAACCTCACACAGTAATATGATAAATATTATTTTAAGTATCACAAAAGTAATATTTTTTTAGTTTTATGCATCTGTATTATTAGTTACATTTTTGTAGGTGTAATAACTGACCCCAAATTTTGTAGGTGTAATAACTGACCCCAAATTTAGTGAACTAGTATTTTGTCCTTTATTAGGTGCAGCAGTTATGGAAAATAATTGTATATTTGATGATTATGTAAGAAACTACTAGTAATGATTTTAAACAAAAATCCCAAATCTTTTATGAGGAAGATGATTAGAAAAATTATAAATTTATTATCTTAATTTTAGTATAATGTCATATATCTAAATTTTAATATAATCTCATATATCTAAATTCAATTTTCTTTTACAGGATGAATCATTTGACAGTGATGGTAAGTTTTTCATTTTATTTTTTTCATCTTTTCTAAATTTTCTTGTCCTAATTCTTTCAGTGTGTCTATTAATATATTTAGTTATTATATAAATAAGCAGTAAAAATGAATGAAATCTGCTGTCTTTGACAGTAGAATTTACTACAATTTATTCATAGACTAGGAATTGTTATTCCAGAAATTATCCACTTTGAGATTACTGAATTTTAAGTAAATTTATTAAAAAATTCCTTTATTCAATTTGACACCTGCAATATACACAATTTCCATTAATTTTTCATTGTTAATAACTCTATTGCAGCAATATTATCACAAATAATTGTGCATTACATTATTATGAATAAATGACATCAATGGAAATTTAACAAGAATGAGTTTATCAGTTATTGCTTCTTGTCTTTGGGGTAGGTGTAATGGTAGTTTTTTTTATAGTTAGATTTTTATCTTTGTGTCACATCCCTTCAGGATGTTAGCGATTATGTCTCCCCCCCACACCTCCCAGATTTCCTGTTCTTTGTGGCTCTTAATAAATTTTGTATTTTATTTTTATTCCCCTTAAACCCTGTTCTGCCATCCATTTACTCAAGCTCTCTAGGTAGGTTATGCATTGTTTTCCTCTGTCCCACTTGCCTTCAATCTGTCCTGTAAATATCAAATTTTATTAGTTGAGTAGAAAAAGTATTGCATGTAGTGCAGTTGACTCGTTACTCTTACCTAAGATCCAGTGCACATTGAATGATTTTAGTTTTGGTTTTGTCAAACCTGCTAGGGTTATGTACTTTTGCATTAAGAGGAAAGTAGAATTAGTAACAGTGAGAAAGGAAAAAGGACAGTTGTTGGAATTGTCTGGACATGCAATAGCAGGATGTAACAAGTAAAAAAAATAAGTTGTCACTCACTCACTGATCTACTGGTGAATAGAAGATCAAATACACTGTTGCAACGATATTCACATAGATAAGGATACACATTTTGGAATTGGAAAGAATTAAAAATAAAACCCAAAAGAAGGAGTAGCAGCCACAGAAAGTTATATTTTAATAAACACAAGCATTGAATCAATTGCTAAGTCTGAAGCTAGGAAACATTGGTTCAATGTGTTGTGCTAAACAATTTTTCCATTCCAGAATCTATCTTATATATATTAATAAGTCTATCATTCATCCATGCTTCGATTATTGCTGTCACATATAATCTGGTGCTTTTGCTATATATCTAGAGATTCTTGATAAAATCCAAAGAATCTGCAATGTTATCGGTCCTTACCTGTCATCCCAGCTTCAGTTACATTCTCACTGCTGTAATGTACCTTCCCTGTGCCTTTTCTATAAATATTTTCATGGTAAATGTTCTGATGAACTTTGCTTTATGATACCTAGACTTTATGAATTTAAATGCAGTACTAGATTGGCAACAAGGTCTCATCATTTTACAATTGAATTGGTCAGAGATGTAACAATAAGTTCTTTGCTAACAGTTTCTTTTCTTACATTTCTTGCTTTCCTGCCAACTTTGATCCTCAAAAATTGCAATACCAATTATTATCTACTACCTATTATCTTACTACTATCACTCAATAACCCCTTGTGTCTTAGTGGCATTATTACCTTGGGTGAAATAATTAAAATGTATATGCATTCAACTCAGTATTAGTGCAACAAATTCTCACCATTTAAGTTATCTTTTTAATTTCATACTAACTCATTTCTTACCACTCAGGAAAGAGAAATATTTCTTGTTATAAGTTTAGCAAAAAAAAATGACTTGGTTGATAATAGACTATAATAAATTATCATAGTATTTCTAGGAATGGCTTATATTGAAAAATTTACATAGAATACAAATGTTACATGATTGTAAATTGTTTGTTACAGGCTAGGATATGGATAATTAGAAATCTTTATAATGATCCATTGAATTCATTGGCTTAACTAGGTTTGCTGAATTTTGTCTTTTATATACTTAGAAATTAAACTTGTGTGTTTCATGAGATTATAGTAGCAAAAAGTTAGAGAAAGTTTTAAATCTGACAAGAACTCTTTCTTGTTGAATCTTTTTTCTGAAAATTTAAGATATATGAATATAGAGGTACATATTCTGATCATCATTGATTGCTAATGAAGAATTTTTTTTACAATAAAGGACTGAAATCTATTAATATTATAAAATCCTAAATTTTAAAACAAATTTATTTAAAAAAAAAATTTCTTAACAATTTTCTAAAGAAAAATGGAAGGTGAATGTATGTTTGAATTTTTAAGATGAAGTATTTTCTTTATTATGTATATTTTTATTTTGACAGGTTGATATTAATAAGTATGTTTTAATAAAACATGAATTGAAATTCATCCATTTAGATTGAGAGAATTTGCAAAAAGGATGATGATTAAAAAAAAAAAAAAAAAAAAAAAAAATATTAGTCAGTTTAAACCACAAAATAATAATGTCTCAAAATGCACATTAAAAATCTACTGTAAGAACATCAACAGCATGTGTAGCCCTATTTCTCTTAAACACATGTACTGTAATAAAAGGTGGATAAGAATCAATGATCAGTTTCAGTTGTCAGCTGTAACCTTTGACCTATTTCCTACAAGGTCTCTATCATTAGAGAGTAAATAAAACCAGAAGTTCAATTCAGTGGGGTTTGGGGAAGGTCAGAAGTTTGTGGTTAGTCAAGATCTAATAGAAAACAAGTTATCAAAGTCTCAAATCATGTTTATGCATGTTCACCATTAGTCACAAAAAAAAAAAAATAGCTCAATCAGCAAGGATCTGATAGAAATAAAAGTTATCAGGATCTGCTAAAAAGATCAATTTTCATGTGTAGGCATTTTATTGCTGTAAAATGTTTTGATTAGAATCATTGTTCACAAGGTGTTCACTTTTTTCAATTATCAAAAATGACTTGCATTTGAAAGTTGAAATATAGCAAGAAAAATATCTTATCTTTTTTTTTCTTATTGAAATTTTCTTGGATGTTATAGAATATAAAAATTGTTCAAATCTGAAAAATTTACAAGTGTGCACATTTTTCTTTTGTTTTATAATTAGTCATTCCTTTGTGGGAATGACTAATTACAAATCATGAATTGCTATCATATAAAATGAATTAAATTAATTATAGATAAGAAAGAATGATACATATCTATATAAGAAGTTTCTTTTAGAAACTATCTTTTATTTATCATGAAAAATCAATTATATCATTTCAGTAATTCTTGCAAATTTTGTTTTGCTTTTTTCTAGCCACAGAAATTCTTGTGTCCAGTATGTCAGACTCAGACCATGAACCACCAAAAAAGGTAAAAACAATGTTTGATTTGTCTCTTCAATTAATAAAGCATTACAAAAATGTTTATCTTTTCAATATTTCGCTTTTTTTTTTTTTTTTTTTTTAATTAAACTTATATTCTAAAATAAATTATTTTTCATTTTTGTTAAAAAAAATTCCTTCTTAATCAACGTGTTAATAAAATCACAAGTAAGCTTCACTGGTTATGGTTTTCATGTGTAGAATTTATTATACATTTGGTTTGACAAATCTTCTATATTCTGTGTCCCTTCAGAACATTGGTGATCATAGCTCCCCACAATTTCCTGTACTCTGTAGATCTCAAGTTTGTCTTTTTGCTATATCTCCTAATTTTTGTTCTCTCAACCATTTATACAAGCTTGTTAGGTAGGTTATGCACGGTTTTCCTTGCCTCTTGCCTTCAATATGTCCTGTGAGTATCAGATTCTCCAAGCTCTCTTTCCTCATTATGTGCCTTAAAAATTTCAACTTTCTACATATAAGTGTCCTTTTTGTTTCCATTTTGTCTAAAACTTTGTCAGTTCTCATGTTCAGTCTATGGTATTTTCAGTATCCTTTTGAAGACCTGGATTTTTGTTGCTTCATCTCTTCATGCACTGTCATATAGAAGGACTGATATTACATAATAGTTCAGTACGCTTTTCTTTTTTTTTTTTTTTTTTAACACAATTTTCTTGTTTCTTAATACTTTGCTTAGCTTTTGAAAGGAATCTTTCACTATCCCAATGCACATTTAAAGTATATAATGAAAAACTGTTGATACTGAACAGTTAGATTTATTTTGGATATATGCAATGTGCACATCCTTCTTTCTTGCCGATGCACACCTGAAGATAAACATTTTACAATGAACCAAATTTAATATTCAACTTTATTTTAGCAGTATCAGTTGGACACCATTCAAAATTGTCCATTTTCTATCTGATATAAAAAGGAATAAAAACAGACTGAAAAATAAAAAAAAAATCAAATGATAAAAGCAACAATGAATATGATAAAAAAAAAAGAAAAAAGATGAAAGTAGAAATCTTGTCAAATGCTCAGTCTGTTTATAAACTGTTGACTGGATATAATCACCTGAAAGTCTGCTTTTCTGTATTTAAATGCTAGAAAAGTGACACTTAATATTTTCAGTTTATTAGATTTTACTTTTATACAATGGATTGCTGTAATGTTCTTACCCCCAATCCATTTTTCAAAATCTGTGCAAATAACAAAACAATGTTTTGAAGAACTTTTTGTTATGCTGAGAACATTTCAGTACTCCCTAATTTATATGAAAGTAATTATTAAATCAATTTCCAAGGTTACTTGTTTAGTGTAAATTGTTGAGTGTCGAAAATTGAGAAAGTTAAATTCAGTTTTAAATGGAATTTATCTTTTGGTGTTTTTTTTTTTTTTATTTCAAGCCAAGTCATTGTGCAACTGGAGGCCTATCTTATATTTCATCATTCCCATGATTTTTAGTTTTGGTTTAGGTTTGTGGTAGTTTTCTGCTGTAGTTGGCTTAAAGTTTTGCTTTTTACATTTGGAATAACTTTAGCTTATTTAACGGAAGTAAGTGTAAGATTTATTTATTTTCTTCAGATTTACTATGTTTTCATTGCAACATCAAACTTTTTTTGTATGAAATTCATTAAAATAATCTAATTTAGGAAACCTTAATTTAATATTCTTTTCTATGAAATTTTTATTCATAAAAGCAAATACATTAATGATCAACTTTATTTACTTTTCCATAATCTGTATTTCTGTTTCTAATAAATTAAAAAAAGTATGTTGAATATTTACCACTCTTCCTATACCAAAATGTAACATTTTAATTTTACTTGATTTATTAAAAATAATTTATTAATCCATTTTTTTCTAGTCTTTCTTATATATGTTGCAAAGTCTCTCCAAGAAAGTTAATTTTAATAATGGCTTGTTTTATTAAATTTTTAACAGACTTTTCTTCAAAAAATTTTTTTCTTTGATTCTGTTCCTACACTGCAAAATTTATTTTAAAATGCTATTTGTTACAGAAAAGGTAACCAAAAAAGTTCTGTCCGTTTTTTGATTAGTCATTGAATGAAGTTGAAATATATACGAAATGCATGTAGCAATTGTTTTTGAATTCGGACAGCCGGAAGTAGGAACATCAGACATTATAAAAAACGCGCACCGTGCCCGGCCATCAGTTATAAGCCGGACAGCTGTGAGAAGGATGGAAGTGTCTAGAGATTTCGTTCGGGGCTGTTTGCTTTACGACTTCAAAGTGGGCTTATCAGCAGCTGCATCAAGTCGCTGCATATGTCAAGTGTTTGGGGATAGTGCTGTGGATGAACGTACTGCAAGGCGTTGGTTTCGAAAATTCAAGTCGGGAGATTTGTCTCTCCATGATGAGCCTCGCAGTGGACAACCACAGGTCTTGAATGAAGGCGGCTATTGAAGAGGACAGTAGACTAACGTGTGGTGAACTTGCAAGACAGTTCAACGTTTCTGATGAAACAGTTAGACTTCACCTGCACCGCCTAGGTAAGATGTACAAACTGAGCAAGTGTGTTCCGCAAATGCTGTTGGAGGGCCACAAGGGACAACGAGTGGCAGCCTGCGTATTGCTGCTTTCTCGTCACCGTACGCATCCTTATTCAATCAAGTGCTTACCAGTGATGAAAAGTGGGTTCTGTACAAAACTCCCAAGCGTTCCAGACATTGGTTATCTCCTCAGGATGCTGTCCCTTACACTGCAAGACCGCCTATGCACCCACGCAAGATTATGCTTTGTGTCTGATGGACAGGTCGTCAAGTGGTTCATTATGAACTGCTACCAATGGGTCAAATGGTCACTGGAGACCTAAACTCGCAGCAATTGAAACGTGTGCAACAGGCATTGCGCCAGAAGGAGCCAGCACTGGTGAATCGCAAAATGTGTTTTTCCTCTATGACAACACCAGGCTGCATGTCACGCGAGTAGTCAGGGATACCATACAGCAACTTGGGTGGGAGACTTTGTGCCATCCACCTTATTCACCTGACCTTGTGCCATCCGATTACCACCTCTTCCACTTCCTGGATAATCATCATCATGGGAAATCCTTCACCACTGAAGCAGACTTGCGCAAAGCCCTCACAGGCTTCTTTGCAAGGGCATTGTGCCATTGGCGATTACTTCGAAGACTAAATATAAGTTACACATACTGTGAAGCGTTTTCTTTTTTTTTTTAAAAACGGACAGAACTTTTTTGGTTACCTTGTATTTTTCTCTATGATATTTTATTCATAACAGCAAATATTTTGATAAAATTTAACTTTTATGAGTAATTTGTATTTTTTATTTCTAAGAGGTATTTAAAAAAATATGTTGAATTATAGTTTACCATTAAAAAAATATAAAATAGGCATGTAATATTTTATACTACAAAATTAATGACATTGTTAGGTAAAGATAATATAATTAAATCAAATAAATTTAATCTGATATTTTTAGATATTGTACATAAGGTGTACAGAATATTAACCCTAACCCTACTGCTAAACCACGCAATTTTAAGAGTTCATTTTTTTCTAGGTATTTCTATAATCATAAAAACGTATATTTAACAAAATAATTCAGCATAACAATAGTTTATTTCTAAATAATAATATAATTATTTCATGTTTATTTTGTTCCATGTTATTTTTGTTCAAGAATTCATAGTTTTGACATGGTTTTTGTTTCATTAAAACTGTTTTAATGTGAAGAATTCATTCAAAGATTAAAATGCACATAACATTTCATACAGTGATGAATCTGAAGCAAATCTCTGGTAAATTATATATTAATTGTAATAAGACCATATTAAAGAAAATATACCAAGATAAAGGGGATTAACTTTTCAAGCCAAATTAATTATGATTTTTTTCTTTGAATTTCTTAAGTCAACTACAGCAGCAAACTATCCCAAACTGAAACTAAAAGTCTTTGTTGCCGTTGAAATGAGATTTGAGAAGTCTTCAATTCTGGCTGTGAGTTGCTCTATGACTTGGCCCGAAGTAAAGAATGCCATGATTTGTCTTGATCAATTTTCAACTTACAAAATCTAGCACAGATGAGATACCATTTGGGAAAAATCTGTCATGGCTACAGAGCTACATTAAAATTTTTATGGTAGATTAGACAAATTAAAATATGGTATAAAGCAATGATTTTCAACTGGTGTGCAGTAGTAGGATTGTAGCTTGCTGCAAAAAATTTTAAAGGTCATTAATTAAAAATAGAGAATTTCAAGTAGTATCTCACCTCATAAAATAAACGTGTTTTCAATTCATTTGGATGAATCTACTGATATCAGAGGTAAACTTCAGCTTTTAGCATTCAGTAGATTTGTTTGTAAAGAAGAAATGATAGAACAGATTTTATTTTTTCATCTATTTCAAACAACAACAACAACAAAGAGCCAGTTGTCTTAGGATTCTTGCATAAGTATTTGTATGTCCACAAGTGTAGAAGATATTTTAAAAAGTAATGTCAAGCTCAGATATCTCATTAAATGTTAAATTATAATAAACAGAAAAATAAATAAGTATGAGGTTTTAAGAATTTTAATTATCTTTTAATATCTTTATAATAAAGAGATAACAATTAAAATTTTATGTGTTAATAAAGCATAAAAAGTATACTTTTTTTTTTTTTAGCTTCAGAATTTAGGTGTGCCATGGATGTTTAACTAGAGATTCAAATGTGACATGAGATAAAAAAAAGGTCAAAAAACATTGGTATAAGGTATACTAGAAAGCAGTTGAATAGGGATATACTGACTATGTTCTAGGATATAAAAAATAGATTTAGTCAATTTGAGATAACATTTAAATTCTGTTGATTGCACAATTTTTCCGTGTGTATAATGATGAACCTAGCCAAGATAGGAAATGAGCTTTTCAACTCCATTTTATATATGTTGAGCTATATCTACAGATATTTATTTATGCTTTTAAACAATTTTTTTCTGTTAGGTGAATATGTGCTAC